AACGTATGCACATTCCCATCCATGTCTGTCTTCTTCTTGAAGATCCATTTGCACCCAACTGTCTTCCGACCTGGTGCACTATCAACCAAATTCCAAACTTGGTTGTCATACATGGACTTAATCTCGCTGTCCATTGCTTCTTTCCACTTGGAAGCCTCTGGGCCTGCCATTGCTTCCTTATAAGTGACTGGTTCATCTAAGTTTACCAGTGTTCTGTCACTTATGAATGTGTCACCATCTGAAGTAATATGAAAACCATACAACTCAGGTGGCACACTCACCCTAGTGGATCTTCGAAGCGGTAATGATTTATCAACCGGTTCAACAGGGACTGTTTCCTCTGGTTGAGTGCTAGTGTCATCTAAGGTTCCTTCATTGGCTGACTCTTGAATCTCTTCAAGGTCAATGGTACTCCCACTGTCCTCTTTGAATATGAGCTCTCTTTCCAGAAAGACTCCTCTTCGAGCTACAAACACACGTTTTCACTAGGTCTGTAGAACAAATATCCAAAAGACTGCTTTGGGTAACCAATGAAAACACATTTCTCACTTCTAGCTGCTAGCTTGTCGTGAGTCTCTCGTCTTACGAAAGCTTCACAACCCCAGACTTTAATATGTGCTAACGAGGGAACTTTCCCTGTCCACATTTCGTGAGGTGTTTTGGCAACCTTCTTTGTAGGGACAAGATTGAGGATGTGGGCGGCTGTCTCTAAGGCATACCCCCAGAAGTGAATAGGAAGCGAGGCACGACTCATCATAGAACGAACCATGTCTAACAAGGTTCGATTACGCCTCTCAGCTACACCATTTAACTGTGGTGTCCTAGGAGGAGTCAATTGTGAGACTATCCCACATTCTTTCAGATAGTCGTTGAACTCGGTACTAAGATACTCCCCGCCTCTATCGGATCTAAGTATCTTGATCTTTCTGCCCAATTGATTTTCGACTTCATGCTTAAACTCTTTGAACTTTTCAAAGGTTTCTGACTTATGTTTGATCAAGTAGATGTAACCATATCTGCTATAATCGTCAGTGAAAGTCACATAGAATCGATTAGCATCCCTTGTGGTTGATCTGAAGGGCCCACACACATCTGTGTGTATGAGATCCAACAGACCTTCACCTCTTTCACAAGACCCTGTGAATGGTGATTTTGTCATCTTTCCCAAAAGACAAGATTCACACATATCATCTGATTTTAGGTCAAATGATTCCAACACTCCATCCTTTTGGAGTTGGGCTATGCGTTTCTTGTTAATGTGTCCAAGACGACAATGCCACAAGCATGCCTTGTCTACACTATTAGACAAGTCAATATTAAGTACACTATTTCCTAAGCTATCAACACAAGTCACTGTTTCATACACACCATCACAAGGTAAAGCTTCAAACACAAAAACACCATTCTTATAAACAGAAATTGAACCATTCAAATCATTAAAAGAATATTTAAAACCTTGTCTGAACAATGCATGAAATGAAATAATGTTTCTCGTCATCTCAGACGAATAGCAACAATTTATTAAGTCTAATCTAACATCATTACTAAGCAATAATTGATAAACTCCGATCTTGGTCACTGGTGAAGACTTTCTGTTCCCCATGATCAAGTTTATCCTCCCATGCTCTATCTCCTCACTTTCCTTTAGCCCCTGCAAATCAGAACAGATATGAAAACCACATCCTGTATCAAGGACCCATGAACGAGAAGATAATGAGTTATTAGCAGAAATAGTGTAAATACCTGCCGAGGATGGCTTCACTTTGCCATCCTTGATATCTTGCAGATATTGTGGGCAAGATCTCTTCCAATGCCCCTTTTGATTGCAGTAAAAGCAAGTGGCCTCTTTTGGATCAGAAACATGGGGAGTGGAACCATTGGGCTTAGCCTTCGGGCCATTACTAGATGACACAGCTTGAGCCTTGCTCTTCCAGTTTTGCTTGGGAGGACCTTTCCTCTTCTTCCCCTTACCCTGTCCAATGGCCAAGACAGGGGCACTTGCAGGTGTGGAGGGTATACTTTTACCCTTCATCCCTGCCTCAGCTGTCTGCAACAAGTTGTGCAATTGGGCCAAAGTCTGCTCAGTGTTGTTCAAATGGTAAGTTAAGATAAACTGACCATAACAATCAGGCAACGAGTTCAAGACCATGTCAATGGCCAATTCCTCATCGAAGTGAATGTTGAGCTTGACCAAACGCTCTATGTAGCGTTGCATTCTTTGCACATGAGATACAACCGATTCCCCCTCTTTCATCTTGCAAGCCATGAGTGACTTGACTACCTCAAACTTTTCTTGACGAGCTCGCTTATGGTACTTTTCCATAAGGTCCTTGTTCATCTCAAAGGGCCAGTAGTCCTCATAGTACCTCTGCAATTCTGGGGACATGGTTGCAACCATGATGCATGCCACTTTGGTAGCATCATCATAGTGTTTCTTGTAGGCAGCATACTCTTCGGGAGTGGCTTTTGACTCATCAAGTTCTTTGAGCTCCTTTTCAAGGACATACTCTTTGTCCTCAAATCTAAGCGCCATCTTGATGTTACGCATCCAATCGTTATAGTTGGAGCCATCCATAACGACTTTGGAGCAGATGTTTAGTAGAGAGAAGTTGTGGCTGGAGGATGATGAAGCAGAAGTGTTTCCAGGAGTAGACATCTGAAAAGAAAGATAGTTTTAGTTAGATTCCAAGACACCTCAATATAATAACCCAAAGATATCATATCAAGGTTAGGACCCAACTATGACGATTTACAACTTAGAAATGGGATGCCGAGATCCAAGTTCAAATCTCATAAAGGTAGGTGAATGACGATTCACCAATTCCACCATTAGACAAAATAAACGAAGTGAAATTCCTAATTCTTTTGAGATACATTAAAACTATTTAATGGCATGTTTTAATCTCGGATTATGCTCTACTATTTGTGACTGGGATACCGAGGATCACAAACTAGATGTGAATAACCATGCAAATGTGCTTGGTAACCTTATTGTCTTTATCATTAACTATTGATGTGCCGGTAAACCACACACGCTCCATCAAAATGATAATTATAAGATACCCATTACTACTCTTTATTAGTGCCTTTTAGTGTGCCGGTTAACCACACACGCTCCACTAACGACCAATAAAGCATAATGTGCAATTTCATGGATTAGCATACTTTTCACATTTTTCCTAAAGTAACTAGAGTTGGGATTTTGAAAAATAGTGTTCTAGTACTTTCTTTAATAGCATTATACTTTTAATGAGGAGTAGTTGTCCTATCAAATCCGTTCTGCTAACGACCCTCCACTAATCAAGGAAGCGGTGGGTGAGAGTGGACACCCATTCAACTACCATTTTATAGGCAATTTCCTTATACCCCCTTATAGACTAGCTTCGTGAATGAGGCATACTAGCGATTTGACTGACCATATTCTTATACATATATAATGTTTAACTTTTAATTATAATATATATATATATATATATATATATATATATATATATATATATATATATATATATATATATATATATATATATATATAAGGTGTGTTTTAAAACATTTTAAAACTCCAAGAGTTTATATAAATTTTCGAAATTTAAACTATTAAATTTTAAATTTAAATAAACAATCAATTAGATTTAATATTTATCTATTAATTAACTTTTAATTAATTTATTAAATCTTGTAAGGATTATCTAATCAAATTAATCAATTAATTTAATCCTAATCCTTATCCCTCTAAATTTCGAAAATTAGGGATAAAGGATAATTATCCAATTAATCTAATCAAGTAATAATTATCCAAAACAAGAAACCCTAAAATCTCTAGCATATTTCGAAATTCACAAGGGAGGAGGCTAGGGTTTTCAAAACCCTAACCCTAATTTCGATTAGGGTTCTTTGGAGGCTAGGGTTTTCAAAAACCCTTTGATCCAAACCCAAAAAATCGAAAAAATGGCCTTTAGGGTTTAATAGCTATAAACCCTAATTTGCAATTCAACAATTATGACAATTCAATTTAAAACAAACAATGGCTCTGATACCACTGATGGGTTTTAGGTAAAACAAATAAACTAGAAAACAATTCCTAAGTTCACATGCAACCTACTTTGGATCTATGTTTTATCTATTGAACATACAACTTTGAATTGCAAAACAAGAACCCTAGAGGAGAGAGGCTATAATCGAAATCTACAAACTAGGGTTTAGTAATTACATACCTTTCAATTGTTATAGTAAACAATTGATGATTCCCTTGATCTTGATCTTGATCTTCTTGGAAGCTTAGCACCACAAGTGTAATGCCTCTAATGGAATCACACCCAAACTAGCAAGAAGGAAATTAGAGGAGAGAGGGAAGAGGGAGTATGCAAAATTTCGGCCCTTAGGGTTTCTTCCAAAGAAAGAGTGACCAAAACATGAACCAGGAGGCTCCTTATATAGCTGAGGGATCTAGGGTTTAGGGAAACCCTAGTTATCCTTTGCTTAGGGCCTAAGCAAACCCAAGGGCCTTATCCAAGCCCCTATGGACGAAATTATTAGGGTTTCCCCTAAAGATTTCGTGCACCCTTATCCAAGGGGGTTCTAGAGCCTTCCACTCAACTATTAGATAATTGCAAACTAGTCCCTGCACCTTATAATTAATTCTTTTAACCCCGAAATTAATTCTAATTAATTTCTGGCTAACAACTAATTAAACCAAATGGTTTCTTATTAATATATTAATCTTTTAACATATTAATAAAATCATTTATATTAATTTATTAATCTTATAATAAATTAATATCTCTCCTTTCATAATTTCCTTGTCCGGTTGCTAGGTTTGAGGGCAACCCAAAAGGACTGTGCTGCTATCAATTCAAGTACATACCAATTATAGTTATGGGCTTAGACACCTAATCCAACAAAAATGTCATATGTTACTTATGAAATATATATACACACACACAAGAATACGATTTCAATTTTCAACAAGAGAAACAAACTGATATGATTTGAATCTAAAGCTAACCTGGTTGTGATGAAGATGGGGACATTCCAACATCAAGAAGATCTTGAAGAAAGTTGTCACCTGTCATCATGCTATTTGTATTTGGTGGAGGAGGTTCTTCTCCTCCTCCTAAATCAAGCAAGTCTACTAAAGGAGCAACAGTTGTTTTAATAACACCATTAGGAACACTACTTCCCATTGAAGTTGAAGGAATATAAGTAGAACCATTCCTCCTTCTACTGAAATTTGCTTTATCAAGAACTGGCTTCCTTTCAACCAGTGCAAACCTTCACATAATTACTTCACTTCAGTCTTTTATATTAACAATTATCAAAATTACTATCCACAGTTCCATACCTTATATTCTGATGCTTTTCAATTATAGAATCAAATTTTGTGGATCTGTGTTGCAGTTCAAGCAGAAGGCTTCTTTTAGATTGAACAGAGCCCTACAAAAAAAAGTACAGTGAAACAGATCCCACATAGAATTTAGTTCCCTTGAGATGTCCGCCTTCGCTGTCTACATAATTCAGACCAGAGCCCTAAAAAAAAAGTAACGCAGACATAAAATAATTGTTTTGCCCTTCATTTTTAATATATTCATGATATACATATAAAGGGTATTGTATTATATAGACCTTTTCATCTCATCCTGCAATCATTGCCCTAACAGAAAAACCCATCCCATGGTAAGAATAGAGAATGTTGGCAAGCATCTTTGAAGCGCCAATCACTGAAATCCTACTCTTGTTTGCCAATTCATGCAAACAACACTGAAATTAAAAAAATACAAATATTGCGAAGAATATTTCAAAGTAGAAGGATGTGATATGTAAAAAGGTGATTTTAATACCTTAATGCCTAAATTTCTATGCCAAAACTGACAATCTACAGCTCCTCCAGCCATTGTCCCCACCTGAGTTTATAATGCTGCATCTATGAATTGAGATAACTATTAATTACAAATTTTATGGAATTTATTAAGGCAAAGATCAACTGTTTCAATAATAGCATAATTTATGTCCTAAATTGACCTTATAAACACTATCAAAGGGAAAATTATAGCATAATTTATGTCCTAAACTGACCTTGTGTGGAAGGCTAATGAAATCATAAAGAGCACATCTTCTATTAAGAACATCCCGTATACGATTTTCTAAAGGAAGTTTAGAATGTGAAATTCAATTTTGAACAAAGATATAACACACCTGCAACATGGAACACCAGATGCAACAACAAGTTCAAGTGATAGAAGGGTAGTGAATGGCGAGACCAATTTCAAGAAGCTTTATGTGAATTTTCAAATTTGCCACAGCAGGAGCTTTATGAAATTTTCAGATTTGTAAATTCTAATTTCTAATTCTAATATTCCAATTTCAAGAAGAGCTGAATCCAAGAGATTGAGAGAACGGGAGAACAGGAGAAGAACATACCTGATTTCCGGTGACAGCTGTTGTGGTGGTGAATGGCGAGACCAACGAGCAGCGACTGAGCAAGGTAAGGAGGTAGCGACTAGCGATGATGGGGGAGGAACTGGGTAACAACGTAAGATACAAATCGATTTTGACTTCTTGTCGCTAGCTTTGGAAATCAGACTGAAATCGGGAGGGGCACAGCCCAATTTCTACACTAACAGGCCTATAATTAAAATTTTTGAAGACATATTTACTATTTCTAACCCAAATACCAGGGGGCCAAAGCCCCTCCTGGCCCTATACATAATCCGCCCATGCTATGACCATTAGCAATCATATGGATCAGATCTGATTAGTAACTAGCAGATAATATCTCTAATTGAAGCTTTATTTGATTATAGAGGCAAATTGGAAGTTTCACGTGATAGGAAACCAGATTAAAAAAGCAATCGAGAATTCAACACATACAGGGCCAAGAATAGTACGTATTGAATTTATGAGGCAACCTACTCCTTGCTGAAGCACAACCGATCCATTCTCTTCAAAAAAAAAGGATATACATAGCAAGGCCAAGTACACCTTAATGAACGATTTGATTTTTAAGAGACAAACCGATTAGAGTGGAATCAGAGATTGGGGAGTGGATACTGTTCTAAGGTCTTTATTTTAGGAACGAACAAGGAGGTGATGGTGCAAATTGATGACCACCAATCAAAGCCTCCGTAGAGCTCGATTGGAGTGGAATAAGAGATTGGGGAGTGGAAGAAGAGAGGATCAGAGACGTTTGAAGTGTGAATTGAGTTTTTAGGGTTCAATTTCAAGTCAATTAGTAAAGAGTCCAAAATGATTACACCTCCCTGTACCTTACCCAATAATCAAAACCATAGAAATTGTTGAATTCTGTATGAATAAGCGACGAAGATGCAAACTTCTGGGAAGTGAAGCGGTGGAGGTTTGAGAATCGAGAGAGAAGAAAGAAAGAAAGGGGGTTTTCAGCGGGAATGAGTTAGGGTTTTCAGCCGGTGGAAACAAAGCGGGCTTTTTAAATTTTGGATTTCATTTCCCCCTTGGATGAAACGCGTGTTTCATTAATATTTATAAAGCGACATAGCTAGACGATGCACGTTTTATTTAAGGTGCCCTCCGTGTTTTTTTTATTAGACACTAATTTTTGGCATGCAAAAATGCGTGTCCACTATGCTTCATATTTTGGAAATCTGACATCAATTTTTAGGGCACTCACAGATGCGGGTCCTCTATTAGCGCGTGTCATTGATTTCGCGTCGTAAAAGGCTGTTTTTCTAGTAGTGAACTTGTAAATAACATAAGTAACATTTTGAAAGATGTTTAACAACAAACATTTACACAATTATCATTATGTTAAATGTAACGACCGAAAAATCCAACCAATTTAAACTTTTCAAAAACAACCCGATTTCATTAAATTATTTACAAAAAGGTTTTCAATACAATCATTTAGAGTATTCCTAGAATCACATTGCTACAAAATCATGAGGAGCGGTACGATCATGCCTTTGCCTTGCCACGGTCTCCTGAAGAAACTGAAAAACATTAAACCACAACTGTAAGCCCGAAAGCTTAGTGAGATACCCCCAAAATACCAACCACATATACGCCTTTCCAGGCTATGACCTTCCGGTCCAAAACATATTGCCTTCCGACCCATAACGTATTGCCTTCCGGCCCATAGCATAAATAGCATACATAACATAACAGAACATAGAACAACTATAAATATCGGGTTTACTGTGTGACTGGTCCGCCGTATCGGGCCTCCAGTTCACCGGATCCACCCTCCGAGTCTAGTCATGTCTTTTGAGTCTACAGTGTGGTTGGTCCGCCCGCATCGGGGCTTCAACCCACCTGGTCCACTCTCTGAGTCTACAGTATGACTGGTCCGCCCGCACCGGGCCTTCAGTCGGCATGGTCCACTCTCCGAGCCTCGGCACGTCTGGTCCGCCCTCGTGGGGCCTACAGCCTATCCGGACCATTCGCTGGGCCTTCGGAACAACCGGTCCGCCGTAGGTATCTTGGCCTACAGCACAAAGCAGGACCCGCCTCAACCCATCTCTAGTCCATGTGCACATAACATACAATCATATAACAGTCATAGTCAACAAACCGATCAAGCATATCACATAACATATCATTACCCTAACCAGGTTACCGACCTAACCGGTCACTAGCATAGCATCACTCTACATATCGGGAAATCGACCTTAACCAGGTCTCTAGAGCATATACCATCCTAGCTACCAGGATGCAGACATATCAAACAGTAACATAATAACCATATCCGAATCTCAATCCAATAAAAGGGCCGGCCTTGGTGCCTTAAACCCTGTTGATATAGTGAGGATAACTCACCTCGAAACTGCCGGCTGAAAGGATAAGATCCCGCTACTCCGAACTCCGAAACGAACTCCTCCACTGAACACCAAAACACTCAACTCAATATATATCCTTAATTACCAAAATACCCCTGGAGGACAACTGGTCAACCTTGGACAAAGTCAAAGTCAACCCCTAACTGGCTCTACTCGCCGAGTCATCCCGATGACTCACCGAGTCCCTTTGCTCAGAACTTCCCTCAATCCACGACCCAACTCACCGAGTCATCCCTTGACTCACCGATTCTCGACTCATCCAGAAAATATTGGGACTCTTCGACAAGACTCGCCGAGTTCAAGAACATACTCGCCGAGTCTAAGGCTATATTCAACCCACTCGCCGAGTTGTTCATCCAACTCGTCGAGTTCTAGCTCATCTTCAAGCAACTCGTCGAGTCCACCCATGTGACTCGCCGAGTACCACCGGGTCTGAATCCATACAGAAGCTTTCCAAGCCATGTAGATGATCCAAACCATAGCTTTACTTCTCCTAAGGCCATCCATCATGTAAAGTGGCAATCTTTACGTGAATCCAAGAAGATCTAGGCATTTTACTCTAGGGTTTGGGGTTTGGGACAAGATAGCTCCATCAACAACACAAGAATAGGGACTTTAATGCTCTTAGGACCTTCTCCACTCCAATTCTAAGGTAGCAACCTCGAATCTATCCTTCAAACTTAAGATGCCACAAATCTAAGCTTCCCACACAACCCCAAAATGAAGAATCTAGAAGAACACAGCCCAAGAACGAGATATTACCTCAAAAGAATGCCCCAACTGCAATGAAACTCGAATCCAAGCAAAGCCCTTTGATCCAAGCCTCTTCTTCTTCAAGATTTCTTCAACAAGCACCTCCACAAGCTCCAAATGCACTCCAATCTTCCACAATCACGTTTTCTAGGGTTTCTGGATTTCAAGGGGAATCAAAGAGGCTAGGGAGAGGGTGTGGTGTTCTTTAAATAGGGCTCATTCCCCGGATTTAGGGTTTTCTCCACTCAGCACCTACTTGCCGAGTCCATCTTTGACCTCGCTGAGTAGGCCACTTGACTCGCGACCAAAGTCGCGACCCTACTCGCCGAGTCCATCCATGGACTCGCCGAGTTGCCCCCTCAAAATTTACACTTTTAGTCCTTCAACTCTCCTCTTGCTATTCCGGGATGTTACATTAAACCTGTACTCCCCCCTTTAAAATAGTTAAAATAGTTAAAAGATTCATTACGAGGTATGAACTCACCTGACGTGGGTGATTCAAACGGGAATGCGTGTACGGATGAGAAGTTCCACGAATGAAGTCCCGAGACATAACAAGTCCGAAATGACATATAAGGACACATATTGACATGAATATAGTGTTTATAAACATGTATATGAAAGGAAACACCTTGGTTAAGTGTTGGAATCACATGTGATTCATCAAAGGGAAGTGAAATGGCATCTAAGGGTGTTTATGGTTTGGTAACGAACTCCCCTTGAGTTTACGGTTGTAAACTCATGAGTTTACTGCCGTAAACTCATGTCCTTTTTACCATTTTGTGCGTTGAAGTCCTAGAAGTCATTTTGAAACATCCTAACTTCAAGTCTTAGCCTTAGGAAGTGACTAGGGCAACATATCACCCCTTTATGGGGTTTTATGGTTTTTGGACCATTTGTCTTTGGGTTTACGGTAGTAAACCCAAATGGTTTATGGTCAAATGGTGTTTTCAAGTCTTAAACACTTCAAGGTAACGGTCTAGGCTAGTTTCTAGGCTTAAGGAAAGAGTTTGGGGCATTAAAACATGCCTTTGAGGTGTTTACGGTTTTGGGAGGTTTCCCAAATCGTAAACACATATAAATGGGACATTTTGGGTGACTTTTAGGTGCTAAAGACATCAAGTGAAAGTTCTAGGCTTGTTTCCAAGGTTTGGCAAGAGAATTGGGACACTTTAGCAACCTTATTAGGGTTTACGGTCCAAGAAGATTATTAGGCCATAAACACTTGTTCCTTGTTATATTTGGGTGTTTTCTTGTTGCTCCTAAGGTCTAAACATGTCAAGGGTAGTTTCTATGTTTGGTTCCAAGGCCTATAGGGGCATAAGGTACACTTTGGCCTCACTTTGGCCTCATTTTTAGTGTTCACAGTCCAAGAAGATCTTTGGCCGTGAACACCTTTTCCTTGGAGAATTTTGATGATTTCTTGATGTTTAACACTTGATCTAAACATATTAGGGCTAGAAACACTTACAAGTTGAAGATCTTGAAGAAAATGGGATGATACTTGAGAGAGAGAAATGGCTCTAGTCTTGGAAATGTGAAAAAGTGAATAAAATATCTAAGTCTCACTTATATAGTCTTTAGGGTTTACGGTCCCAATACCATTTTGGACCGTAAACTCCAAACTCTTAAAGTTTTGGGCACTTATTATTACATAATAAACCCTAGGGTATCCTCTCTCCTGATATCTTCTGAAGCACTAACTTAAAAACACTCAAACTTATTCTAAAAAGTTTGAAAGTTAGCATGCACAGTTTTAACTTCAGTTAAAGTGAGTGGTTGTACGATGGAAGAAATTTTTGGGTTGTCACATCATGCCCCCGTTAGAATGAATTTCGTCCCGAAATTAGGTTTCTTAACATTACTACTGGGGTTGAGCTCTTCTGCTTTGCAGAATACTCACTCGTGGACTTGGCAATTTTGCTCTGGTGTTCTTGATAGGATTCATACTTGGTCCATCTATCATTACCTTGTGTGTACAAGCCGTATATAATTAGGATTAGTAGGAATGTCGGATGTGCGACTCTGCCCCAGGTCCACAACCGAACGAGGACAGGAGATAGGGCGGAAACACACATACTAGATCTGCGTAATCATACTCATATACCACCCTCGCGCATACTCTAAATAATAATAGGCGGGCTGTATTCATCCATAGCCTCTGTGCTCAAACTTG